GAAATAAACAATATGTTTCCCTAAGCGCTTTATTTGCTTTATTTCAGTGTCTTCAACAGAGCTCTTTGCACTGATGCAGTTTCTACTCTAAACATTCCCGGTCATATCCTGTTTTCAGACAGTCCTTCCCTGAAAAGGAATCTCATTCACCTTGTTTAGCTATTTCCATAATGCTTCAATCGAACTTTTCGCTGGATTCACTTTCTCACATTTTTTAGATGCACGAAGTCTGGGAGGGCGACTGCTAGAATTTTGTGTGGATAGGTTCTTCCATATCCGCAATAGCTCAAGTAATACTGCCAGTTGCATTTTTACAAATAAGCTCGACACTGCCGTCTCCAAACCCGGAAGAGAAACAAGCGGGTTTGGGACCGTGCAGAAGTCCACAGGTAAACTTAGCCACCCGAAAAAGTTGTGAATAACTAATTTCTGGTTCCATATAGTTCAATTCATTACCATCGCACAGATTTACTGAACACTTTCTAATTAGTGAGAGGCGCAGTCTAGATATTATCTGACGGAAATGCTTTAATATGGCAGAACGTGACGCTGTATGTCCTGGAAAATTGCCAATTTCATGGAGCAAATAACCTACCACAAAACGATATGATGCAAATTCGTGTTAAATGGGGTGGTAGGTTGCAGAATTGCGAACCAAAGCAGAGAAGGCATAGCGCTGCAGTCGGAGCATGCCACCTTATCATCTTAAGCACTTCCTGGACTTCTGCAATAAGCTTAGCCATCTAATCCGTCAGCTCAATTAAAAAATTTGCACAGAGTGGGTATAAACAATAAATTCAACGTTACAGGCCACAACAATTAATTCATTTTTTGAAAGTGCCCGCAGCATTCATTTAAGTGTGCAGTATTTTATGAAAAGGTTCAGGCGGAAGGAGACGCTGGTTTGAGTTTCAATTTTACAGAGTCCATTTAGATAAATTTTGGATAAAGTTTTTTTATTGATAGTTAAAATAGATTAAAACGAACCGACGAATTAGCGACCAGTGTCCAACTCGGAGCAAGGTCCTGCACACCATTATGAAAAACTTCCTCGAAAGGTTAAGCTTTTTGTAACGGTCATTTGCTCATGAAAATTACCTGCATCCATTTTACTTGGTGCTTTAGTACCGTAGTTTGGATGCAAAGTTCTATTGGTAACCGGATTCATGACCTGAGTTCAGAGTGCGATACAGTTCTTTTTATTCCACAAAGACAATACATTTTTTTTAAGGTGCAACTCGGCAAACAACAAAAAGTTGCGTTTAAACATTAAAACACTACTAATACATTAACAGCAATCGGGCAGAGTTATTAGAATACATATTCTCACGTCTACCCATTACAACCCTGGTCAATTTTTTTGTCATGGTTTCTATTATACTATCATTTGTCCATATTTTTTTATGAATTATCTTGCTGGATTACCATGGGATAACGGAGTTCTCAACGATTTTTCGTTGAGACTTAATTTTCAACTCGGCTTTTGCATGCCACAAGATCGCCTTTCTGAGTTTCCTTTTGGCTTTGCTCATTTAAATACCATTTTACAAGCGAAAGGACGAACTACCACAAGCGCAATATTTTGATCTAGTCAGATCTCATTTTTTTTGCTGATGAAACCTGAGTTTTCGCAGAAAACGGCACATTGTCATGCAACCGTATTTCAAATGTTGTATCGCCTAGTTTAATTTTTTTTGTAGATAATCACCTGAAAATTGCTCTTGTCAAGGATAAGATTTATAGGCATAGCAGATTTAGTTATCTGTAATTCTGTTTTGATTCGCATTTATGTTTCCGAATCGTTCGAGACTGAAGCGGCTTGGGAAACTGATAATTCTTAGCTCGTTAATGAACTTTTTATTACGTTTTTGCAATGCAGTAGCGGCTAAAAGCATATCTCTGCATAAAATTTGATTTTTAAGGAATGCTTCGTTTAGCTTGAAACTGCTTCGAATGACGTGTCAGTATTATTATTGGCCCACCTTCTACAAATTTGTGCTCTGCTTCGCATTTTTTACCAAAAATTTACTGATTGAAATATGATTTTCCTTTGCAAGTTTAATCTAACTGCATGGGATGAAATTGCCAAATCTCTTATATTACCGTTGATTTAAACTAATCGATGATAATTCAAATTAGAAAGTTTTATGACACAATAAACACTACCTGCAAATCAAACTACAGCTAAAAGAAGATGCTACGGCGGGAAGTAGTCAGTTTCGAACAGCACTTAGAACTGTGTCGTAAATTTCAGTACCAGATGACTCTTCCTTGCTTGTATAACCTTGAAGATTTTATTCGCATCGAAAAAATTGGCGAAGGTTAGTAACTAGAACAATTCTTTCATGGTTTTGTTCATTTGTGACCGTTAAACTTTCGTCTGTTCGCTGAGGATTCCCCGCTTCCGGTTTCCTGTAGCGTATCCGTAAACAAAGTGTAAGTCGTTTCATGGCTGATCAGTGGAGAAAAGCGAATGGTCGTTAAAGAAAGATTTAGATGGCCGCTCTTTATTTGCTTTGTTGTCTATCCGATTCAACATATGATACGGTACTCGATAAATGTTTAACTAAAACGCTGATGCTGTTTCCTTTATAGAATTTCTTTGTTTTTCGAAGAATGATTTTCCTAATTCGTCGTTATTATTTTCGTAATGATAATTAATCTTTTTGGAATCTTTCATTTTACGATTGTTTAGTTTGAAAGTT